TTCATGTGTTTCTTTCTTTACTTTTCATAACAAATTCTTCTTTTTTGTATTGAACTTTTTCATTATTCAGAAATACATATTCTGATGATATTATATAGAATATTCAAAAATTATAAGGTCTTGTCTTCGATTAAAAGCATTCGAGATGATCGTTGAGAAGAACGATGACTATTATAGGTCTCCTTATTATATCACTTTCAAAACGCGTGAATGTATTTCAACATAATAATTATTTACCAAATTGCTCAATATAAATTAATAACCTTGATAACAAAACTATGGAACAAAAGATTAAAAATATCGACCCAAAATTTACAGACTATATTGGCAATGCATTTGATGTGATGTATAAGAGAGCGATAGCAGATAATAAACCAAGTGCAGTAAATAACAATTAAAAACAACGTCTTTGATGGCTTGTCTTCTTCTATTGAATGAACTAAAATGTACGTATTCAGTTGACAAACTATATGATCGATGTGATCGTCACTATCGGTTATAACTCTCCTGTGTGTACTTCTACCTGCGACAACTACCAAATTCGAAATTACAACAAAATGTTAAGCGTAATTAGAGCGTAAAGAAAAATAACTCGATTAGAAAGATTGATGTCGTTCTTCAGTCCAAAAAATGAAACCTAAACTGGTTGTAATTTCCACATACCCTCATTCGAATTTCGAATTTAGACAGTTCATATTCTAGTCACTTATTAGGAACTTTGTTTTTCAAAGAATTTAATAAAAAATCTTACAAAATCATGTAAAAAACTCTGTCACGTTTAATTTAACGTAGTTTTATCTTTCCTTTCTACAGGTAAAAAAGCGACAGCTCTCCATTTTGTTCCTACCAAAACTTGCATGAATAAATAACATATCTAGTCTAATGATTTTGTCTTTGATAGCTTGATATTTTATTTTTTCACTAATACATGATAACCGACATACTCGTCATGGTTCATCAAACGACACATGACTAAGGCTTTCGTTTCATTTTTCTTTCTCTCACTTTTTATATCAACGATTGTCGAAGTTACTTCCTAAATCAAATAAACAAAAAACCAATTTGACGAAATGACATCCAATCGTTTTATTCAACATATTATACCTGAACTTGATAATACAAATCCTAGTCCAGCTGTATATTATGAAGACTTACGTGAAGTTCCACTAGAAGAGGCAGTTCAAGATATTCATCCACTTATCCCTTCTATTTTCCATAAGGTTGCTACAGCTAAAAGAAAATGTAGACGAACATTTAAATTAACATTGGATCAATCGGCATCAATTTATCTTTATTCAATGCCGACAACATTTTTTACTCTTTTAAATGAAGCTCTTCGATCTCGAAATCCAAATACAATTCAACCCTGGTTATTATATTTAAAACTATTCACGACAGCTATTGAAAAACTGCCATCATGTCAAAAAACTATATGGAGAGGAATTCCGAATGTGAATGAAGCGAATTTTATTGTTGATCAGGAAATAACTTGGTGGAGTATTAGTTCATGTACAATATCTATTGATGTTATTTCCATGTTTGTTGGTGACGTAGGAAGTATTTTTGCTATCAATGCAATATCTGGTAGAAATATCCGTCGCTATTCTGCTATTCCATTAGAAGATGAAATTATTCTTCTACCTGGTACTCGATTTCTTGTCATATCTAACCCATTGAATCTCAATGAGAAACATCATATTGTTCACATGCAAGAACTTCCAAATAATCGTTATACTAATAATAACACAAATTCTGATAATGAAGATACTGAAGATCTCGATTCGACTGATCTTATACCTGATCGTACGCGTCATACATATAATCAAATACTAAACCAAAAAAATCTTCAAACGATTCGTAAAATTATCATGGTATTGATTATTTTATCAAGTGTAACTGCTGTACTTCTATTTGCCGTTTTTAAAGCAGAAAAATTTTCATCCTCTACTACTCGTAAGTAATTCGTTTTTAATTGAGAATACAATTGTCTTCGAAGATTGATATTTATACAGATATTTTATCAACCAGTACAATTTCATCAAAGCCAAAGATCGGTGGTAAGTGAAAGAAGGAATGATTAATAATTATATTCTTTGGTATTCTACAGTCTGGTCTAATACAACGAATATGAATTTTGCACGTAGTTATCATACAGTATCATTACTTAGTACGGGTAAAGTCTTAGTTGTTGGTGGAGCGATGCATCGCAATAGATTCAGTAGTGGAGAATTGTATAATCCATCAACGAAACTTTGGGAAAACGTAGATCCAATGTATTATTATCGAGCAGGTCATACAGCAACGATACTGAATAATGAAAAAGTATTAATAGTCGGTGGAAATTCATTGGAGGGTAAGGAAAATTTGACTACCCCAGAACTTTTCGATCCAAGAAGAGAAATTTGGACAAAATTAGAGAATAGGAATACACCACGCACAGGTCATACAGCATCGTTATTACTTGATGGAAGAGTACTGATTGCTGGTGGATATTTTGGTGGATTTCGGTCACTTGGCTTGTCGGAAACGTATGATTCATCAACAGAACGATGGAATAGAACAGGAGATATGATAATTCCACGATATAATCATGCAGCAGTAACTTTACGTAATGGAAAAGTTTTAGTTATTGGTGGATCCAATGAATATGGTTGTCTCAATAGTACAGAATTATACGATCCAAGAACAGGACTTTGGACAAAAATGAAAGACATGAATGTTCGACGAGTTTATCATACAGCAACCTTATTGAATAATGGTAAAGTATTAGTTGTCGGTGGTTTCATGATGTTTGGATTTGATGATGATGTAGAACTATACGATCCATTAACGGGAAATTGGACATTTGTACGTCCCATGAATTCTCAAAGGTATCATCATACGACAACTGTTTTAAATGATGGAAATCTGTTAGTTGCTGGTGGACTTTGTAGCACTATATTATGTTCCAATGCAGAAATCTATGATCCTTCAGCAGATCATTGGTTAAATACAAAAAATATAAGTATTCAAAGATATTCTCATGCTGCTACAATACTAAATGATGGTAAAGTTTTAATTGCTGGTGGAATTCAAAATAATACTTCAATAGAAAGCTCAGAAATTTACGGATGAATTTGACTTTTAACTGAACTATTTCATCACTCTCTTTCTTTTTCTTTATTAAAATGACTGTTCGTTCACGGCTAAGACGATAAATAGTATATTCGATTGAATTAAAGTTATAACTAAGTGTATTTTGTTCATCTAATATTTGAGTGACCACCTTTTCATGAAATCCATTCGTAACATCTTGAAATCTAATTGAATTACTTTATGATTATGTTATTCCTATACATTGTGGGAAAATGTTCTTTTTTCATATGTTTAGCTCTCATTTATATTATCTCTTGATTGATTTCTGATCTTTCCGAGCCATACAGTTAAAAGGCGATTATTTTCCCAACAAATTGTATTGATTGTATTATCAACAAACCATTCCTTGGTTTTTTTTTTCATTAGATGACTTCTACAATCAAATCTGACTGTTGATAAGTTATTACAACGCTTTAGAATAACTTCCACGTCGTCTAAATTATCAATTTCAATTTGTAAATGTTTCAATCGATGTGGAAGTATTGATAATATGGCATTCGAATATGGCGTTCCTTTAAATCTCATATATTTGCTAATAACAATTAATGATCTGAGATTATGTGCTTTTATGAGACAGAAATGAATATCTTTCAATCCCTCGTCAACCAATACTTCAACACAATACAAATATAATGTAATTTGCACTATTCTTGCAATATCAACCATTGAATTTATTGATGACCATAATAATGAATCAAGATGTTGTAATATATCAATTGCTAGATGAGTTGCTTTCATAAAACGTGAATAATTTGTGATTATTTTCTAATAGAGAAAGAAATACTCATGTAATTCTTTTAAATTCTATTAAACTTTACTTGTTCTCCTAAATTATCGAAGTCATCTGTTGATAACCTCACTGTTTCAACTACGTTGTCTTCTGTCATCATAGTCAGAGCAGATGAAGGCAGTTGTTTCAATTTTGGATTATATTCGAACGCATTTACGCATATCGGTGTAGTATATAAACGATAACCATCAGATAAATGATGCAATTGTTCAGAAATAAGTTGCAAATAATTCAACGAAGATGTTAATGAAAGAAACAACTCAAGCTCATCGATCTTCACTAGAGACTGTTGAATCGATAGAGATCGTAATTGGTGAAAAGCAGACTGGTTAGTTGCTGATAGACTAGCAAGATTATTAAAAGTAATACCACGTTTTAGAATAATTGTATTTAATTGAGAAGAACTTTTAAGTATTTGGCATAAATCACCAAGATTAATGTAATCATCGATCGATAAATACCGAATCATCGAAGTAGACCATTCAGCAGTTGTAAATATATCACCATACAGTACTGGCCAAAATTATAAGAACAGAGCTTTTCTCAAAGTGTTAGCGTGTTCTCATTCCCTCTTTTCCTATTTAGACTAATTTAAAAATCAGTATATATACATCCAAGTATGGTCTATTCAAATGTTACACTGGATGTTTTTCAAACATATTTCTTTAGATAAGAAAAAAAGAAGAACAAAAAACTGTGCTTTTGACCTGGTCAAAATTATAAGAACAACGAGAAGTTTCCGAATTTTTCTCCACGAATTTTTTTTGTAATTTTTTTCGCAAGATAGATTAATGAGTGCAGAAAAGTGCGGACTCTTTGGTGGGACACTGGACTTTTAAAAGTGTCAGTGCCTGTGCTGGACGATAGAGCTACAATGTGCATAGGGTCATAGACTGAGGAAATCAAACCTTCTGAACTTAAATCGTATTCAAATACACTGAAAAGCATATCAAAAGAAAGAGCGCGAAAAAATACGCCTAGCCAGGTAGTTTTATCTAAGATCGGTGGAAATTGTCGTCTTATTAGGGCCTATGACCACTAACTGGAAAGTGGGACTAGCCCCTAGAAACCAAGGTTAGAGCTAAAAAACTGTATTTGCACATCTCTGTTTCTACTGTATCTCATAGAGCAAATCATTCTCTATTCAGTATGTTTACAAGATTTTCGAAAACCGACGTTCTTTTGAGGCTCTCTGCCTAGACAGAAATATGGTATAAGTGGTTTTTATGATGACTTGTGGCGCTTTTCTATGTAGGCATGCCTCTAACTGAAATCACCTCAGTCATACCTATTTCAATTCTAGGATTTTTTCCCATTTAAAACAAAGATTGTAACAAATCAACAACGGTATTTTGGCAGGTTTCTGCGGCTAGAGTTATACACTGTATAGAGCATGGGCATCAAGTTTTTCTTCTTCCCTATAGCCTCAAAGCAACGTCGGTTTTCGAAAATCTTGTAAACATACTGAATAGAGAATGATTTGCTCTATGAGATACAGTAGAAACAGAGATGTGCAAATACAGTTTTTTAGCTCTAACCTTGGTTTCTAGGGGCNTAATAGGTTGTCCGAAAAGTCCGTGCAACTCATTTCACGGTACATCCGCAATGCATTTCGTTTCAGTTATCCTATAGAGGGTGCAGTAGTACTACAATATATAATTTTTCATCTGATTGGCGCGTTCCTTTAATTAGCAGAAAAACGTTTTTTATGCATTTTGTATAGTGATATCTCAAATATGTCGAATATCGAAAAAAGAGCAGTCATAAAGTTTTTTATCCGAAAAGGACTAAATGCTACTGAAATTAGTGAAGAGCTGGAGGATGTTTATGGCGACTCTGCTCCATCTTACCGCACTGTCGCTAAATGGGTAGGGGAATTCAAAGATCCAGAACGTGGCTTTGAAGATGCACCTCGATCTGGTCGTCCATTAACCACCACCACTGATGAAAACATTGAAGCTGTTGAACGAATTGTGCTACGTGATCGACAAGTCTCTGTTCGTTGGGTGGCTGCTGAATTAGACATTCCAAAAACTACCGTGCATGAAATCATGAAGAATCATTTAGAAATGAAGAAAGTTTGCACACGTTGCGTGCCAAAATTACTCACACCACTTCAACTTGCAAATCGAACGGATTGTTGTGAAGAGCTCCTGCAACAAAGTGAAGAAGATCCGTCGAACTTTTTTGACCGCATCGTGACCGGTGATGAAACTTGGGTGTACCACTATGATCCTCTCACTCAGTTGGAAGCCAAGGTCTGGAAGAGATCAGGTGAACAAACACCAACTCGAGAACGTCGACAACGATCAACTGCAAAACGTATGCTGACGGTGTTTTGGGACAAGGATGGTGTTCTGCTGACCGATTATCTACCACGTGGTGCCACAATGAATGGTCAATATTATGCATCAATCATCGAGCAGTTGCATTCTGTATTACTGGAAAAACGTCGTAGAAAAGTTCATCGTGGTGTCCTGCTTCTTCATGACAACGCGCCTGTTCACAAGTCCAACATTGTTCAAGGTGCAATTCGACAAAACGATTTCATCGAATTGAATCACCCGGCTTATTCTCCGGATATTGCACCCTCCGATTATCATCTATTCTCGAATCTGAAAAATTTCTTCGTGGCATAAATTTCAACTCCGATCATGAAGCAATAGAAACTGTCGAGGACTATTTAAATGATCTTAATTTAGATTTTTTTCGCTACGGTATAGAGCATTTGTATGACCGCTGGCAACGTGTGGTTGCTAGTGGAGGTCATTACATTCAATAAAAGCTATTATCGATCTTCTACGACTTAACAGTGTCTGAGTTGCACGGACTTTTCGGACAACCTATTATATCTAAAGATCATTTAGTCCTATTTGAAAATCTTGTAAAAATCAGTTNAGAACTGAAAATACAATCAATCGTTTACATTTGAATCTAGCTCAAGTTAAACAAGTGAGAAAGTCAACATTTGCAACGCAAAGACAAAGTAAAGCTTACGCGAGAAGAAATCCATTCCATTGTCAGTTCTGAATAGTGCTGTATTCAAACCGACAACATTCATAACGCCAATTCTACCAGCTACAATATTATTCTCGAGTTCAAAATCGCAGAGTTACATATCTTACTAGATACGGTTATCAATTGAATTACGTCTGACTTCAAAGTCAATCTATATTCCAAAATTCTCAGTCAAAATTCCATTCTCTCTCGGATGATATTGTATGAGCACATGGACGTCATACACACGCTTAAGAATATTTAAATTTTTATATTAGCAGAATTCTTTTTCAATTTGTTTTTACGTACCTTACTTTAATACATGTTCTAGTTGCTTGATTTTCTGTTATTCACTGGATAGAGTAGTAGCAACAAGTTTTATCTGAAGTATAACTCAATCAGTCGAGGGTAATGCGAGTCTCCCTCGACGAGTGTTATTTTATTGAAACAATGGTCGAACACACTCTCATAACTTCTAAGGATATGACAATCTTCTAAAAATGTCATTCATTGAAATTTGATCATTTCTCAATCGATATATTATACAAGATTTTTCATAGAGAATCTTCATGAAAATCTCGCATGCATATTTATGTAAGTATATTCTCGTTTGATATATTTTATGATTGACAGATGTTTCTCAGAATATAAAACTTGTGTATATCTTGTAGTTCTTATAAAGAAATATTTCGAAGACATATGAATATGCGTATTTTCTACAGTAGAAGATAAGAGGGTGTATAAAGCACGGTTTTGAGAATAAATCAAGTGAATCTTGAGGGTGAAGGTCTGAATATCTTAGATTTATTCAGCGTTCTCGGCATACACCCCCAAATCCCATCCTCATTCTGAAGAAAATAAATGATGTATTTAAGAATATCTCGTTTAATATAATCTTACGAAATACACATCATGATCTCATTCTTATTTATACATAGATTTCTTTTTAACGATAGTTTATCTTTTATTGATCATTTGCAATTGAAGTTAATCTTCATGATTCATCATCATCATTAGATTTATTTATGAGTGAAATATTTTTCTGTTGTTTTTATCCATCTGTTATTTATTTCTTGTCCGATTTGTTCGATAAGAGTGTTCTCCATTGTTGATTTGTTTTGATTCGTAATTAGTAAATAAAGTTTATCAAATTTATCTTTATCTTTTATTTGAATGAATTTCTTTCGAATGTTTCTTCGAGAATATTGATCAAATATTTCAATAGAAATTTGATATTTGTTTTCTAAATCATGTAAATGATGAGCATTTTTTCCAATAAAACAACCAATTAGATTCCAACGTTTTCGAAAAGAAAGTGTTAAACCAATTGGAAGAGATAAGAAACGAAAAGATTCCTCTGAATCATTGTTTCTTTCCATTGTTTAAGAATTTTTTGTTTAATTTCATCAATAGGAAATTGATTTGTTGTTAATGATTTATTTCTTTTTGTAATAAATAAATATAAATTATTTTCTTTAATTTCAACAAGTGTTTGAAAATATTTTATATTCGAAGATTGATAATCAATAATATGTAAACGAATATTATATTCATTTTCTAAATTATGTAAATTTTCTCCATTTTTTCCAATAAAATGACCTTTTACATAATGACGTTCTTCTACTGATAATTCTGATTGAAATGGAAGAGAAATAAATTCAAATTGATTGTGATCAAATGTAAATTCTCTTTGAATGAATTGAATTTCATTAGTTTCATTCCATTTATTGATTAAATCTTGTCTTATAATATGAAATGAAATGAAATTTTTTTCTAATTTATTTTTTCTTCTAATTGACACGTGTAATTCATTTGTATTAATTAGATTTTCTCTTTTGATTTTGATTTTATTTGAATTGATATTGATAAGATTAATAATAGTATTGTATTTCTTTTCTAGAATATTTAAATTTCGGCCATTTTTTTCCAATAAAACGAGAAATTCTTTTCTGATTTTCTTGAGAATTCGTTTGTGATCCCAATGGAAGAATAAGAAAATAAGAAGATTCTTTTAATATTATTTTCTTTGATAAAATTTCATGAGATAAATTAATTAATATATTAATATCGATTACATTCAAACCTAAAATGAAAATAAATTATTGTTTTTAAAATGAAATTTATTTTTAATGAGAATATTAACCTGTTTTTCCATTACATGAACAACATTGTCTTGATAATTCACGATAAATATTATTCGGAAACATATTTTTACGACGGAGTTCATTGATAGTAGTATGAAAGTTAGTCATATTCTTTCGAGAATGTACAATACATTCGTTAGTTGTCATTATAATTCAATCTAGAAAATGAGTGATCAAATATATTTTGAAATACATTTATTTCTGATGAAAAAAAAGAGAAAAAACGTCTATTTATGTCATAAAAAGGTAAAGACTTTTCATGTTATTGTGCAATACTTCTTCCGACATGAATCATTGTTGAAATATAGAATAATTTATTTATTGTTTTCAAGTTGTCTGAAATAATTTTCTGTTAATCATGGCAATTTTTCAATATGTATGTAGATGGTTTTATATTGATGAGTGAGAAGAAAAAGAGAAGGTCATGAGGGGGTGATGGTGATATTAGATTTCAATAGTTAGAACAATTATTCAATTCAATAAACAGTCACCTTCGGACCCTCCTTTATGATTTTAATAGAAGAATATATTAAATTGAAACTACATTGATATGGTGCAATAACGATTTGTCAGAAAGAGAATGAAAAAAAAAGATTTTCGAATCAAGAAGAAATACAATGACGAAAAAATACCCTTTCAAACAATCGATTAATTCAAGTGCAACATGATTATAATTGAAAAAAAAACTGTTTTTTTCTGTGTATATTTATTTAATTTAATCGAAGTTTTTAGAACAACGACAAGTGCTGAGCACAAGTTGAATTCATCAAAAATATCTATGATATACTTTTAAAGACATAGTTAAAATCTTGCTCAACCCTGAAATAAGAATTGATAAGCGACCATAACCTGGACAATTTGTTTAATGATTGAAATAAAACATTGAGTTTATATTCTGATCTTTCAGAAAAAGGGATTAATTTTATGTTTTATTCTATTTTGTGAAATGAAATATTCCAGAAGAGAAAACCGAAGAAGAGTTTTTGCATTTGTATTGTTTTTCTGACTTTTTCTAATTCATTTTGTCAATAAAAAAACAAAGTAACAGATGCAATTCTGAATAAAAGAAAAGATCTTTACATAATTTATATTTTTTTCTCAAACTTCTTCACCATAATTGCATGTACTCGGTTGCCAAAAATGTTTTTCCAGGGGGGTACAGCCCTAACGACTAGTGATAGACACAATGAATTTTATACCAAAAGAAAGCCCGTCAAAAACGGCATCTAGGCGTATATTTTACTGTTCTGTAAAGGAGGGGCAAGCTACAGAACTGTAGAGCTTCAGAGAATTTGAAGAATTTACTATTACTGAGACGTTTTTTCCAAAATAAATTCTGAGTGAAAACTGTTAAAGAATCATAAATACAACGAACTAATGTTAATTTTTTTATAAACCTGGTAAAATAATTAAAGAAAATAATCAATAATCTGTATGCCGCCCGTTAGCTTTTCTCATAAGTTGTAATCGAGATGGATACGAGCATAACAGATTTTGAAAAACCTCAGTATTTGTTTCCATATTTTCTAAGACATCGCATATGTGGTTTTTCAATGTTTCTTTACGATGACGATCATCTCTGGCCTCAGATAACATTCTTGTCTCGACTTCATCCTTCAGTATTGATCCGATGCGCTCAGCTGCATTGAGATCAGGTGAATTTCCTGGCCACATATTATTACCCCAACAAATTGATATTGTTGTCCTGAATCAACTGCTGAGTCATATTTGCTTTCATGCATGGAGCTTTATCGTGAACAAACGTCACTTCATCCACGTCAATGACACGTTTTCTTCATTTTTGAGAAAAGGAAAGACGTGCTGAACCAAAATTGTATCACGAAAGTATTCACCTGTCCAGGATTCTCCTTATTATCTTTGACTACCCACATCAATTTTTTGCGGGGAAAAATAATGAAAATACCGATGCATGCTTGATTTTGTACCATTTCACGATATCTTTCGTCCTCTTCAACATCTTCAATATCTTCGATAGATTTAGCCCAGATTATGTCATTCTGGTAATTTGCCTTCCGAATACTCCACACAAAAAATTCATCAGCTGGTGCGAGGTGTAAGAAGTCTTCCTGCGTCCAGTTCTTTAACCAGTCACATAGCCACAGACGATCGGAAATCTGAGTTTCTGATTTCAATGGTTTCCGAATAACATGAAAAGGCTTCAGTCCCATCCGGTGTCGGTAGTTATCGATCGTGCTTCGCGTAATATACTCTTTTTGTCTCGTTGCAACTTCCCTTGCCACAACGGAAGAACTTTTGTGTCTNGTGAGTGGCCGACCGAAGGGAGGCCGACGAACGACTAGTTGTTTCTTTTGAAAATTAGTTGAAAAGTGAGATTTATAAGACTGTCGCCAAGTGGCCATCATTTTCCTAAGATATATATATATGACATCTTTTCGAGCTTCAAGAAAAAACTATGTAGATCATCGACATATTCAACTAAAAATGATATTAAAAGATATACTGTAGGTCATGAAGTTGCGAAGAATTTCGGCATCTTTGCTAGAGACGGACTCAACAAGAACGAGGTACTTTTTAATATGAGAATATCATTAAACACTTATTAGGTACTGACGGCTAGCCGTGAGTGGTCGACCGGAGAGAGGCCGACAAACGACTAGGCGTTATAATTTGAGAAGATTTCAGGATCGAAATTGGTCTAAGTAAAACATTCTGACAAACTATCAAATGATCAGATCGTTCAACTGAAATAACTTTTTTCTCTCTTTGGACGAATAGTAGCGCTCCAATACTATCCTTTCAGTAGAGGGTTTAGCGGCTAATAGGCCGCGTTACTTGTTGCTATGGTGTCGTATGCGAGCAAAGAAGATGAAAAGCAATTCGACTTGATACGATCGTGACTAACGACTATTTCTTCCTTCTTTTTATGATTACAATGCTGTGCGCACGCGTCCTTACGGAGGAGAACGAAAAAAATGATAAAGGAATGAAGAGAATCATTGTCTTGCACATTCAAGCAATGTGTTTGAAGTTATTAGATAAATTCCTTATCAGTTTTACGACAATGTACATTTTCTTAACGGCTGTATTACTTTTCATTGGAAAGTCGGTGAAATCATAACTGTCGAAATTCTGTAACTTATCTTAACTCTGTATATGCCTTTCTCTATAGAACACTTAAATATACCCCTGGATCCTGTTTTTGACAGGCTGTCTTTTGGTATAAAATTCATTGTGTCTATCACTAGTCGTTAGGGCTGTAGCCCCCCTGGAAAAACATTTTTGAAAACCGAGTATAAATTGATAGAGAAAAGTTTAAAAAAACGGTTTGAAATTGAAGCATAATATTTTATAAAATCCGTAACAAGTAGAAAATTCGTATTGGTGTTATCTTAATACAGAAGAACATTGATCTAGTTATGTAGTCTTTACCAAAAAAAACTTTAAGTAAGCCTCTATCACTAGTAAAAATTTCAGCTCAATCGGCCGATATCTGGTGGATATATTTAAATTTCTTATCGCACAGTTACTTATGGACCACCCTGTAGATGTCGAAGTGTTTCCTTTCGTCATTCGGCGATAACTACTCTAGAAAAACTCTCGTCAGAGAAAGAAAAAAAATTATCAGCCATGGGTTTCATTGCACGACGAGATATATTTGAGTAAAGAACAGAAGAAGAAAAACTGGGAAAAAACCCTTCTAACTTCTTTTTATTTTATAGAGAATATGAAATGTTATTAACCTAACAGAACTATTCAACACTGGTATTGTAACAATATACTGTTTGATTTAATATGGCTTCATCAGTACAACCAAAAATGAAGGGAAAAAAATATCAAAACGGACTCTCAAAAGAACTTCTCATTCGTCTTCGTCTCATCACTAATCTCGATGATTATCCTCTTGAATTGACTGACACCTCGTTGTCTTTAGTAGATTCATATGCTCCTCAACTTCGTGGTTCTTGTACACTCTATTGGTATCTACCTAGAGATCCTTTGAACATTACCGAGTATCGTCGTTGTACGGTTTTACCTGCTCATACTCCATATTTCGCTCCACCTGCAATACCTGCTTATCTACCCGGTGGTCCTCGACAACGAGCTCACGTTTGTAAACCGTTTTATACTTCTCTTTTGCCTCTCTTGCTTACTGCTCGACATGCTCGTGTTGATATTCGTCAGTATGATATTGTATGTGAAAGAAATTCAATTCGTAAATTTGTCAATAATAATGAAGATTATATAATTAGTGTCGCTCGGGTCGGTTCTATTATATTCTTAAGGCGTCATCCTTCATACCGTAGTGTCGATAGAAACGATGTTGGATTTCGTTTCGAGCAGATGTGTACCATTCAAAATGGTTTTGTCGATGGTACCTATCATCGATTGGCTGAAGGACAAATTGGTGAATTACGCGTATTAATATTAGCTGAAACAGATGCCGTCAAACAAGAGAATTTTCGAGAATCAATTGAACTGAAGTGCCAACAAAAAACTGTGAACAAATCACAGCAACATGATTGGTGGTTACAAGCATTTCTCGGTAAGTTGAAGATGTTTAGATATGTCATGTGGAGAAACTATATAATGATAAAATATAATGAAATCTTCTAATATAGGTGGAACAATACTATTATTCACGGTCTTCGTTTGAATGCTGATCGGTCACAAATTACACATATCAAGGAATATGATATTTCAGAATTAAGCGATGCACAAACAAAGATTCAGAGTTTTCAATGTATTCATCGAGTTCTTCAATTTCTTCGTGCAAATGTGTTCGAAGAACGAACCTATTTGCTACGGCAGCAGACAGACGATCAGATAAAAAAGAAAAAAATATATTTATATGAAGCGATAAATGACGCTGACATCAAAATATTGACATTTATTACACGAGACATTTTGGATCAATTGGCTATCAATCATTAAAATGCTTATTATTTTTCCAATGTTCGTGCACAGAAACATTTCTTAATCAAAGTCACTCGCTGAACTGTGGATATCACAATTAGGTCTTGACTTCAAATATGAAGGTGATGATAGAGAAACATTGTAACAAAAGCGCTCTTACATTCTCAAGACTTTTAAAAGAAAAGCCAAGGCGAAAAGAGCGGAATTCTGAATTTCTGGAATCCTAAATTGCAGCATTTCATGATNTTTCGCTCCACCTGCAATACCTGCTTATCTACCCGGTGGTCCTCGACAACGAGCTCACGTTTTTAAACCGTTTTATACTTCTCTTTTGCCTCTCTTGCTTACTGCTCGACATGCTCGTGTTGATATTCGTCAGTATGATATTGTATGTGAAAGAAATTCAATTCGTAAATTTGTCAATAATAATGAAGATTATATAATTAGTGTCGCTCGGGTCGGTTCTACTATATTCTTAAGACGTCATCCTTCATATCGTAGTGTCGATAGAAACGATGTTGGATTTCGTTTCGAGCAGATGTGTACCATTCAAAATGGTTTTGTCGATGGTACCTATCATCGATTGGTTGAAGGACGAATTGGTGAATTACGCGTATTAATATTAGCTGAAACAGATGCCGTCAAACAAGAGAATTTTCGAGAATCAATTGAACTGAAGTGCCAACAAAAATTTGTGAACAAATCAAAGCAACATGATTGGTGGTTACAAGCATTTCTCGGTAAGTTGAAGATGTTTAGATATGTCATGTGGATAAACTATATAATGATAAAATATAATGAAATCTTCTAATATAGGTGGAACAAATACTATTATTCACGGTCGTCGTTTGAATGCTGATCGGTCACAAATTACACATATCAAGGAATATGATATTTCAGAATTAAGCGATGCACAAACAAAGATTCAGAGTTTTCAACGTATTCATCGAGTTCTTCAATTTCTTGGTGCAAATGTGTTCGAAGAACGAACCTATTTGCTACGGCAACAGACAGACGATCAGATAAAAAAGAAAAAAATATATTTATATGAAGCGATAAATGACGCTGACATCGAAATATTGACATTTATTACACGAGACATTTTGGATCAATTGGCTATCAATCATTAAAATGCTTATTATTTTTCTAATGTTCGTGCACAGAAACATTTCTTAATCAAAGTCACTCGCTGAACTGTGGATATCACAATTAGGTCTTGACTTCAAATATGAAGGTGATGATAGAGAAACATTGTAACAAAAGCACTCTTACATTCTCAAGACTTTTAAAAGAAAAACCAAGGCGAAAAGAGCGGAATTCTGAATTTCTGGAATCCTAAATTGCAGCATTTCATGATTTCTATGTATTTTGAAAAATTTCAGATGGAATTGGTAGGAATCCTGGAATCTCGATTCCGCTCTTTTCCTCTTGAGGAAAATAGAACGAAATAATAAAAGAAATTTAACCAGAATTGTTTATTCCCTCGACTGGAAGAAAGATGTATACGAAAAAAAGTCCGCAAAAAGATCGAAATATGTTTGCCTGCCGGTCGCGTATCAAGGGTCAAATACTTAAAGACGATATACTAATATATGACGGTAACCTTAGGTCTTCAAGTCGTATAGCCCCTGTTGCAAAAGTCTTCGTACAAAACGGTTATATATGTGTCACATGTTAGCATAACCGTTTTTTTCTTTCTCTATATATCACGTGATAAAGTGTCAAAAGAACTTCCTTTTTATATAAATAAGTCATTTGATTCTTGCTCTAAATTAAAATGACACGGTCAGAAAGAGAATGTCTTGCAAAACACATTGTACAACACTATGTGAACATTGAAAATCGTCAAAAGAAAATTACTGTAAATCACTTTTTACAGGAACAAATACCACGTCAAAGTATATATGATACCATCAAAAAGTTCGAAGAATTTGGTGCTGTTGGTGACCGACCAAGGACTGGTCGTCCGAAGAAATTATTACAACAATTAGTCGAAATTTGAAAGCTATGGGTATAACGTATCGAAAAAAGAAACGGGCTCCTAAATATACCGACAAACAACTTGAAGAAGTTCCAACACATGCACGCCGGTTATACCGAACATTGTTAAATGGTAATGTTGAATTGGTGATGGATGATGAAAAATATTTTCTGTTACATAATGAATCAATATCTGCTAATCGTGGTTTTTATACATCTGATCCAAATGCTACACCACCAGCAGTGAAATTCAAACGAACACAAAAATTCGAACCAAAAATTTTGGTATGGATTGCAATATCCCAAAATGGCATCTCGATGCCATTCTTCAAAGAACACCAACAAGCTGTTACTCAAATGACTTATCTGGATGAATGTATTAAACACCGTTTAATGCCGTTTATCGAAGAATATCATCATAAACGAAAAGTGTTATTCTGGCCTGATTTGGCGAGCAGTCATTATGGTCGTAAAGTGATGGAATATTTAGATGAATATGTTATTAGTTTTGTATCTCAAGAAAAGAATCCACAGAACTGTCCTCAAGCTCGACCTGTTGAGACGTTTTGGTCAATTCTTGAACAAATGGCCTACAGCGATGGTTGGGAAGCAAAAAACATCGATCAATTGAAAAGAAGAATAAAAAAAAAGTAAAAGAAATTGACATTAAAATTGTATAAACCATGTTTTTGGACATACAAAAACAACTTCGACGAATCGCTGATAAAGGACCTTACGAAGCTTGTTCTTTCTGATTTTTTGCACATCAGGACTAGGACTTTTCTTTCATACGAAAAACAGAAATTGAAAATTTTTTGTTTGAAATAAACGAGCGAAATAGATTTGTACGAAGACTTTTGCAACAGGGGTTATTATATTTGTTATATTTTTCTTCGATACTTTGATAGTTATTTTTTTGTCTGAGTTTCACTCAATATTTTTTCCTTTTATATTGAGGGTGTGGATGAGGGTGGGTGTGGATGAGGGTGGGTGTGGGTGGTGAAAGAGGAGATATTCACACCCTCGTCCTCCCCTCACTCAATCATCTACACCACAACGATCTTCTGTTTTCTCCTTGTAGCAAAGTTCACTCTGCTTCGCCGATACAAAAGTTAAGGGTGAGGGTGAAGAGAATACTATCATCCAGATTCACATTCTCTTGATAGAGGAAAAAATAGCAATCATAGTCGAAACTGATCATTAGCATTTATTTCACTCAAAAGAATTATTATTCATGAAAGCATCCAAACTGCTCAGTTAAATATATCGAAGTGCATTCAACATCTTCTAAATTTACTGCAGGCGTCGATTGTTGGACCAGATTTTCCACATTGTTTGTTTCGACGAAGGACGACCATGCCATCATCGGTACATACACAAATGTCGAAAAGTGCCACTTGAGCTGTCTTTCCTAGAATTCCCCTTTTGAAGTCGTGTTCATCGTCTATGCTAAGACAGTCGAGATGATAACTCGTGGCTTTTCCACAGTCAGTACGACGCGACAGGCTATCATCATGCACTTGTCGAGACTTGATGGTCTCTTTAGAAAAACAGAAAGAGAGAAAGGTATATTATGTATATCAATAGAAAAGGACTGCTTTCTTACTGTCATCGAACGATCCTTGGACGAATGAAACGCATACTACGTTAACAGTGAATAATAGCGAGAAAATTGTCTACAACTTCATGGTGACAGTGTGTCAGCAAAAAAAACGTTTCTAAAACACTATAAGACGCACTCGGCCTTTTATTTATGAAAGTATTAATCCTGCGTATCTCTATTTTTGATTAACATTTAAATATGCGACCTTCAAGTTTTTGTTTGGATTACTTAGTGGCAGGCTCAAATTTCCATTGATTTTTCATTCCCAGAAAAGTGTAATCGGATCGTAAAATAATAACACGACAGTTAAAACTTACACCTGCGAAGATTGTTTTATTCCTGTCTTTTTTTCTTTCGTTTGTTCACAACGTATACCATTTGGTTTCCAGCGTTACCAGATAGCTCTAGGGTTGACTTCATGTACAAAAAAACATTTTGAGCATGTCATTGCAGTAAAGTTAATGTGAACGAACCAAGGGAGAAAAAGCGCTACACCAATACTCCAATCTACTCCACCCTTACTCCAACAATACTCCAATAAATACAATTATTTTCTGGTCAAAGTATCGGTGAAGTAGTGTTTGGAGTAGCACTGGAGTAGACTGGAGTAGCGTTCGAGTAAGATTGGAGTAGAGTGGAGTATGACTAGAGTAAATTGGAGTAGGCTCCTATCCTGGTTCAGCCTACTCAAACACTACTCTCATCCACTCCAATTTTACTCCGACTGTACTCCACTCTACTCCAACACTACTCTTGTCTTATAGGCCCTACTTAGTAATGAAATACCCTCGTTTGATTCATCCCCTTATCGCTTTCTGAAGGAGATATGCCTATTTTAAGTTTCACTCGAAATACACATTTCTTCCGTGATTTTCGATTTCTCACTAAAACTAGTATCGATACCAAAATTCATATACTCTTTCTATTAGAACAGCAAAAGGAATTTGACATTAGCCTGGAATGATGAGTCAGTCATTTTATCTTGATGCTGCCTCTTGATTTGATGCATACCATTGTGTGAGAACGGAGAAAAAAAGTAAGGCGTATGTGTATACGAATATTTCGCTTTATCAGTTGTGTGAGGAAGAGTCGTTTTTTAGACATTGTTAAACAAAAATGAGTGCTGCAGATAAAATTATACAGCTTTTGACGGATAAAGCGTCTCAAAAGCTATCGAATTATTCGCCCAACCCGGCCGTTCATGAAGAAGAAGTCGCCACTCATTTGTTGAGAATTCTAGAATCAATCTTAACCAGTGATTCTTACACCCATGAATATGAAACTACGCTCGATCACTCGACTCTTGACTCGGAATTCGATGAATGTGAAGCGGATTCGGATAGTTTTTATCAAGATTTCGACTACGAAGAGGAAGATACAATGCCCAAAGTTTTCGAGAACTTTACTCTTTCTTATGTGAAACGGGCTTTGGGATTTTATGATGCTATCAATCCTACAACAGGTAAAAGAAAGCACACCTGGAACAATGTAAACATCACTTTCAACGTATACCTTACCAATATTATATGGCTCGTTTCCGAAAATACGTTGAGGAAGAGGGGACGAAAAAGCAGAAGGTCGATTCTGTCGATGATTTCGTGCATGATAAGTTCGAGCGTGTCAGAGATTTACTATGTCCTGTGCATGAAATCGATCTGAAAAGGTGGGGTTATTAACAAGCAAGATCAATGTCATTCAATGAGTTTACTGCTTCTAATACTTGGTTACTCAACTTTAAACACAAACATGATATCTGTTCACGTAAAATAACTAAGATGGTGACAAAGCGAGAGGTGAAGAACGAAGATGATATTCAGAAATCAGCTGATCTATTTGTGGCGGAGATACGGAAGCTTCTTTCACACTATAAAGAAGATAATGTTTTAAATACTGATCAATCGGGTCTGGAACTTGAGATACATTCTGGTCGCATTCTCAGCTATCACGGCGAAAAAACGACGCTTTCAACGGTTCGTTCTGAAAATGCTACTACTCACAGTTACACTGTACAACCGATGATCAGCTTGAGTGGTAAAGTGATTGGACCGGTTTTCTTATGTCTCAAAGAACCAGATGGGCGAATGAGTGATAATATTAAAAGTAATCTTTTTAAAGCCGATAATGTCGTAGTAACGTGTAGTGCCTCAGGCAAGCTCACGACCTCGTTGGTCAAGTATTGGCGTGACAACGTGTTCATTACCTCAATCGCCAATTCATCTCGAACCCTTCTACTCTCTGACAGTTGGCTTGGTCAAGGGGATGGAAAGGGTATTTATGAGATGATAAAGGATTGTAAACGAATGGTAGTTCCACCAAAGACAACGGCTAAAATCCAACCTCTTGATGCTTTTTTAATCACGAATACAAAGTTATTGATCGACGTGTTTACGATAGAGTCATTCTCGATGATATTGATATCCAAATGGCTCAACGCAACAACATCACCAGGCTCCATTCGCTTATTCACAATCAAATCTTGACTCCCATCTATACGACTATGATACGTTACGCATGGTTTAAGAGTGGTTATCTTTATAATCATCCCGGTCAATTTCAAACGGTAACAGACGTTTGTTTCAAACTCAATGAATCGCACTACGACATTTCGCCATGTGGTTCGTTTTCATTTGTACGCTGCAGTTACTGCAGAAGAATTCTATGCTTCGACCATTTTTTCATCGAATACCATATACACTAATCAACACTAACGAATAATAATGCATGTCGGCCTTTCCTTTCTTCTTTTCACATCTCATCGTAAAGAAAATAAATACCTGTATTAATCATAGTTTTAGTGAAAAACGGAAAATCACGGAAGAAACGAGTATTTCCAGTGAAACTTGAAATAGGCATATCTCCTTTAGAAAGCGATAAGGAGATGAGTCAAACGAGGGTATTTCATTACTAAGCAGGGTCTATAAGACAACAGTAGTCTGGGTCTTAAAGCTTTTTATCACCTCGAGAGGTTTCCTCGTTAGTTGAATCGAACAAATAAGATGCAAATTCGATAAAGCTCGTCGCGTTCTATCTTTGTACGTACTTGTTCAGATGAATTGGCTAATTCTTCTGGAGAATACTCGAATCCTAGCCCAAGATATGTTACGTTCTAGATAGAACTTCTAGAAAATGAAACATTTTATCAATCCTTGCGTGACGAAATATGAAAGTGATTGTCTGTGTCTTGCGACATGATGGTGTGTTATGTCATCTACACACTCATAATCGTGTCGTTTCTTTATTTAACCCAGCTTATATACGAAACATCGCGCATAACATGACAAAAAAAGGCAAGGTCAATATCTATAAGCAGATCACATAGGTGAATTATAGCTATACGCTGACCGTTACACCTTGATGTCATATTCTTTCGTAATTATCTATAAAATAATTTTTTCGATCAGTGAGAAAAACAATCGTGAATTATTATTGTAGATTCATAGAATACCAACAAAATTCTTCTTTGGCATTAATCATCTAAAAACAAATCTAATATATTATTTTATGACGCATGTAATAGAGAGATAGTATGAAGAAAAAAGAGAGAAAAAAACAGGCAATAGAACTGTAATATCACGTCTGACATCGATGACGTTAGCTAACAGTGTAACGTAAATATTTGGAAATAACCTTATCTTTTTCTGCATGGAATGCAGATAGTTTCAATCCTTTATTTATGTATAAATGCAGGCATATTCTCAGATAAGATGGGTGGAAAAAAGTCTAAACCTGTTCTTGATTCTCCTGATGGAGCAACAAGAATAGTACAAACATCATCAGATATTCGTTTAGCAAGACATATTGACCAAAATTACCTTCTCATTTGGCTAAATCCATATTTTAACGAGAACAATGAAAATTGTCGTAATTTTGTTACTCATTTGAGAAATATTTTCAGTACTATTCATACATTCACTGATGTCGATCATTGTATCGATTATCTTACTGATGTCAAAAAAGAAAAAGTCTTTATGATTATTTCCAGTACTATTGATCAAAATTTAATACATCTCATTCATGATATATATCAACTTGATTCCATCTATATACTTCGTGAAAGTCTTTCTTGGCACGAACAGTGGGTAACAGGATGGCCTAAAATGAAAGGTATTTTCATACAATTATTATCAATTTCAAGAGCATTAAAAGAAGTAACTAAACAATGTGATCAAGATCTAATTTCGTTAAGCTTTTGTTCATCAAACGATAATACATCCGATTTGAATCATAATGAACTCGATCAATCATTTATGTACACACAATTATTTAAAGAAATTCTGTTAGAAATCGATTACGATGAACAAGCGATTGAAGACTTTGTCTCTTACTATCGTAAAAAATACTCAAATAACGATACTAATTTTGATTTTATCAATAAATTTGAACGCGAATATTATCTTCATTCTCCCATTTGGTGGTATACTCATACATGGTTTTTATATTCAATGGTTAATCGAGCTTTACGCAATATGGAAGTTGATATAATCATTAAATTAGGTTTCTTCATATCCGCTCTTCATCAACACATCGAACAACTCTATACAGAACAATTTGCCAGTACTCAAAAACAATATTTTATAGTTTACCGAGGACAAGGTTTATCGACGAAAGACTTTGAAAAACTTATGAAAACGAAAGGTGGATTGATTTCATTTAATAATTTCTTGTCTACTAGTATCGATAGAGACGTATCACTTGCTTTTGCTGATAGTAATCGAAATAATCCCAATACAATAGGAGTTCTTTTTAAAATGACAATTGATCCAAGAATCTCATCATCACCGTTTGCTCGCTTGGATAACACTAGTTGCTTTATGAATGAACAAGAAATCCTGTTTTCTATGCATACAGTTTTTCGTATTGATTCATTGGAACCTTTCGTCGATAATCAACATATTTGGCAGGTTGCGCTGACACTCACTAATAATATTGACCAACAGCTTAATTCAGTTGCCGATGGAATACGACATAGATTATCGAGACTATCCGAACCTGTTCGATTGATTGGCATACTCAGTCTGCTTGCTAACTTCGAAGAAGCCGAAGACTTGCTAAATACTGTAGACAGTCAAATGTTTGATGGTGACGATAAAGCAGGTTTGTCTTTGATGGCTGGCTATTTAAAACTCGCACAAGAAGATTATGGGGGAGCAATGTCACTTCTGACAGAGGCTCTTGATATTTTCCAAAAGAATCCGACTCAAAATTATCTTTCTATTGCGTTTACTTATAGCAGTATTGGGTCAGTATACTTTCATATGGGAGAGTACCTACGAGCGATTTCTTTTTATGAAAAAGCAATGGAAAATTTTCCTGAGTGTTCTTCTTCAAATGATAATTATTTGGCTCTTATCTATAAAAGTGTTGGGTTGGTTCATTCTAAGATGGGAGAGTACTCAAAAGCGATTTTTTTCCATAAAAAAGCGATCGCTATCTATCAAAAAGAAAGTCTACCTGGGGACGATATACATTTGGTGTTGTCCTATAAAGACCTCGGTTTCGTTTATGAAAATATGAAAGACTACTCAACATCAGTTTATTTTTATGAAAAAGGACTTCAACTGTACCAACGAATAGTCCTTCCAAATCATCTACATTTGTCTATTTACTACAAAGATATCGCATCTGTGTATTTCAAGATGCATAATTACCATAAAGCTCTTCAATATTGTCAACAAGCACTTCAGATATGTCAAAAATGTCTGCCTTCAAATCATCTTAGATTAGGCGAAATGTATTCGCTAATTGGTCGTGCTTATAACAAAATGGGAGAGTACTCAAAAGGAGTTGCTTTCTCTAAGAAAGCACTCAAAATTCTCACTCAATGATCTTCTACACAACATCTTAATACGAAGTAGACCAGAATTTTGATAATTACATTCATAAGTTCGATACAAAGGACGGGGGCGCTTAAGGACTTATTTTCGCTCCTTTTATTTTTTAAACTAAATTCAACTCCGTTCTTCACAGAGTGATAGATTACAAGTTTCTGATTATTCTGATGCTAAATTCAATGTATTTTAGTGTACTTTAGGTATACATAGTGTCGACCCATGTGAATTTGGTACGGCCGGAACAGGCGGGAACCAGAAATTTCCGGTGATTTTCCGCACTGGGATTCCAACTTCGTATCCGGTCATCGGTTTCCTGTAGATTCCGGGATGCGAACTGAGTTTGCGGATCCCCTCACCAGACTCGGATCAGTTCCTGAGGAAGGATCCATTAATCTTATCCGAACGATAAGATACGGACTGTATCCCTCCGGTTCCTTTACGGTAACGGATTTACAAAATGGAGATTTTTGGAAATTTTTAAATCTGTAATTCTCGATTTAGATTCACTTCATTTTAACGTGCATTTTCAGTAAGGATATGTTTTAGAAAATTGCCACATCCAACGACTGAATAGTATATTGATATCAGTGACAATTCGTGATGAATGCGTGTGTTGTATGTGATCACTAGAAGGATTTGTACATTCTTTTACAGATATTCCTGTTGAATATGATTTTCTCTATTGATCATTCAATCTTTCTCAATGAAAATGGTTCGATCCTCTCTTGAATCATGATGGAACATATTGATCAGACTTCTATCTATAAAATTTTATATCGTATAAATAGTGCTCGATTTTGGTGCGATTGTGCATCGCTTGTAATTCGAAAACATATTAATTGAGTAGTGAACACTATTTGAATTTGAGATGAATGCGTGGATTCAAACCCCGGCTTGAATAATATTCAACATCATTATATACTCTACTGATTTCAAAAATAAGGGCTACTATTTTATTTGTGACACAACACTTATTTTCATCCTCTTAGATCTGTATGTTATTTCTAACTAAGTATTTGGTACAACAGATATATATTACATTCAAATATACTAATGTCTTTAATCAAACTACAATGAAGAAAAACAAAAGTTTTGATTTGCGATTAAGTTTCGATTTATTGTAAAAACTTTAATATACATTACTAACAAATAATCATGCATGATAATGTATTACGATTTATTCTAATGAACCGTTCTGCTATCTGTCAAAAATGATTTTAAATCAATATATACTATTCTTCAATAAGATCAAGTAACTAAAGAGTCCTATCATCGTCCAGCCAGCTACTAATTGAAAAAGATGTTATGATATATAATATCGTGCCATCTATTCACTTGTTATTTTCTTTCGTGTTTTCTTTGTTGTTATTTATATTTATACTTCGTTAAATCAACGAAAACACAGTTATGTTCTAACTGAAACGAACTCGTCTCTCTTTCTTTCTGTTCATCGAACATAACAGTGGTGACAGCGGTCTGAAGAAGAAGTTAGTCTTTCTTTCCTTCTTCTATCTTTTCGTCTATACTTCGACGGCCTATACATTTTAACAAGAAGGGGGTCCTTCTTCGTAGACTGTGACCCTGATTTTACGTCCGATAACAGATATTCAATTATGATTAACGATGGTTTATCTTCAAAACCAAATGATGATACAACAGTAGTGGAAAAAAAACCCAGAATCATCTTTCACGTCCAAAATGCAGCAACTGAACGCACCCGACAGATCAGTACGTCAATAAGCGCGAATGATGGTTGGTCCAGGTGAAGTTGATATGATTAACGGGTGGGCCATAAAGAATTACACTATTTTGTTTTCATTATAACTCCGTTAATTTTGATGCTATGGACCTAATCTTTTTTTAAAAAGATTCGTCATTCAATTCTCTAAAAATCTATGTGTTTTATTTAATGTAAATATTCAAAATCATTTCCTTTCAAACGGTACAATCTGTTAGTCCAACTTTTACAGCTTTCAAAAATGACTGTTTCTCTAATTCGTTTTACTGCTCGCTTCAGCTCGTTAATTAATGTCTTTTTCGACTGAACATTGTCCCAGTTCATTTGTTGAACGAATTCGTCCCATATTGAGTAATCGAGTGGGTTCAAATCCGGTGAATTTGGCGGCCAATGGCCTTTGTCCAAAAATGACGGAAAGTTGTCTTTGCACCACTTTTGAGTTAAATCGTGGGTGTGCGCCGTTGCACCATCCTGTTGATAAATCCAATCATCACCAAAAATCTTGTTTCCATATTTAAGTGCAACTGGTAAGACTTCCTTAATGTATCTTTCGTGATCGACACTACCTTTGTCCAGAATAACCAGCGGTGTAACACCTTTTGAGCACACACCTAACCATACCATAACTTTCTGTGGAAATTTACGTTTTTGTTTCTTCCCGCCGTTCCTATCAGCTTCCTCACGATCCGCAGCCCACACCCGATCATTCTGAGCATTGTATACCCCATCAATGTCAAACATTTTCTCGTCGGAAAACAGGATTTTCATTGTGTCTTCTTTTTTAAAATTTGTTCTTATTCAATTTGCAAATGTTTTTCTCTTGGCTTTTTGAGCATCTGTCATCAATGGAGCAATTCTTTTCTTGTACGGCCGAAGTCCCAGATCATCCGTTAAAATACGACGAACGCTGGCTCTTGAAATATCGAGTTCATGAGCCAGTTTTCGAGACGAGACCCGTTTTCTTCGTTTTAAACGGGTTTTGATCTTCTGTATTGTTTTCTTGGTTCTAATAGTTCGTGGATGGCCTGGTGAAGTAGACATATTGATAGAGCCTGTTTCGCGGATCATTTTGCACCAATTAAAAACCGTTTTACGTGAAACCGCACCCAGTAAATCATCAAATATCTTCGTTGCACTTTCGCCGTTTTCATACTTTGAAAGTACTAGTTTTTGAAGGTCTTCACTTTTCATTATCTAGAAATAAATTGCAAATATCTGGAGAAAAAAAACAGGGCATTTTTGTAGAGAATTGAATGATGAATCTTTTTAAAAAAGATTAGGTCGATAGCATCAAAATTAACGGAGTTATAACGAAAACAAAATAGTGTAGTTCTTTATGGCCCACCCGTTATACTCAGTCTACATTTATCAAATGATAATATGTAACGAACAACCACAATCTGAACTATCTTAATGTATGCATTCAATTAATCTACGTTACAGTTCAAATCATTACCTGCTTTCTTTTCACTCTGTACGCAAACAGTATTCAAAGGGGTCAAATCATATCAAAACCGTCGAAAATCTTCAATCAAAATCAGTCTGACCTCCACTCACTATTAGATGTGGCAACTGTTATGTTATCAGGCATCTACCATCATTGTCATCGCAATGCATAAAAAACAATCAGACCAATATGACTACAAATATTCAACGTTACAAACATAAATTAAACGCACAACCCCCTCCAAGAACAACGACAGAAGTTCTTTTTTGAATTTGAATTTGAATGCAGTCATTTACCTACCTGATGATGATCCATTCAGCAAGGATCGAAACGCGTCGTAGGGTTCCACTATATATAACACACCCTCACCCACCCCCTCACCCTCACCCACACCCACACCCTCACACCCTCACCCACACCACCCATCCTATTCCGAATGACGTTATACCAGCTAAGACCCATCGTTTACTTTCTACGAATTGCATCAAAGGACCACCTGAATCACCAGAACATGCATCTTTATAAAAGGAGAAAAAGCAAGTTTTTTTCATAAAAACAATTTTTATGTTTACCTTTGACACCTCCTTCAACACCAGCACAGAATTGTGAAGATTTGGACTTGATCAAATGTTGACATGTATCACTTTGATGAGAAATTGCTGTGAGTGTTACTTGCTGAAGTTCTTGTGGTAGTAAGTCATTCTTTTCATGTAATGCGCCCCAGCCAATAGCAATAAGCTAAAAAAACCAGATATTCATTTATTTAATGCATAAACTATCGATTTCATAATCATACCGTCGAATTTACAGATGGATTTTGATACGTATAATCTGCACTTCCATTTCTTGGCTTGAAACTTCCTTTTTATATAAAAGAAATAATTTTAAATGGTAATCTCATTTTAACTTACTAATTTCTAGAGGAAGGCATATTTTAGCAACTTCAATATCGTGCATGTCAAGTGGTGATGATAGTTTGAGTAAGGCAATATCATGAAGGAAATGATTCGTCGGATCATAAAGCGGATGGGAGAAAATTTTAGACACATGTCGTCGTTGAGTTCTTTCATCAAGAATATTAGAACCAGCGTCAATAATAAAATCATATGCAGTTCGTTTATCAATGCAATGTGCTGCAGTTACAATCCATGAGTTAGATAAAATAGTTCCACCGCAAACATGTTTATGAACAGTACTGTCTTTAAGTGATACAATCCAAGGCCATAATCGTGTTTTTACAGGTTCTCCACCGACAATTCTTGCAAGTAGTGCATAATTCTTTGAACGACCACATCGTGATCGAATGTCACATCTATGATTATATTGATCAGTACGTTGTAATACAATGGAAAGAATAAATAGTGATGGTAGCAGACGCAACATTCGTCGTAGAATAAAAGTTAAATAATGTTTCTCTTCTTTTTCTTCTTTCATCGCGTTGCTATACGAAATTGTTTTGGCTTAAAGCCACTCATGTGTTTACATTTCAATACATAACAAATCACAGTGTTGCGTTTTTTTTGCCGTTTTGGGAAATTTATAATTTCGTACCACTTTGTGTAGGTGACCGTGAGAATGTAAAATTAGAACTCATATCTATACTTGGATTTTACTACACTGATAAAAATTTTCGTAGAATAATAAACCCTCAAAAAAGGGTTTATAACTGAAAAATTCGTTTATCAACGTGATCTACCCCTTGATCAACCCTTTTTTCTTGATAAACCCCAAAAAGGTATATTATCCGTTGCAAACTGATAAACCCAACAGTTTATCGTCTCTTGATAGACCCTTTTCCCGTTGATCAACTGAATCAACCCTCAAACTCAGAGTTTATCATCATTTCCAAGAAACCTTTCGATTACAATTGATCCAGTTGATCAACGANTGATTTACTGGGTGCGGTTTCACGTAAAACGGTTTTTAATTGGTGCAAAATGATCCGCGAAACAGGCTCTATCAATATGTCTACTTCACCTTTGTCCAGAATAACCAGCGGTGTAACACCTTTTGAGCACACACCTAACCATACCATAACTTTCTGTGGAAATTTACGTTTTTCTTTCTTCCCGCCGTTCCTATCAGCTTCCTCACGATCCACAGCCCACACCCGATCATTCTGAGCATTGTATACTCCATCAATGTCAAACATTTTCTCGTCGGAAAACAGGATTTTCATTGTCTTCTTTTTTAAAATTTGTTCTTATCCAATTTGCAAATGTTTTTCTCTTGGCTTTTTGAGCATCTGTCATCAATGGAGCAATTATTTTCTTGCACGGCCGAAGTCCCAGATCATCCGTTAAAATACGACGAACGCTGGTTCTTGAAATATCGAGTTCATGAGCCAGTTTTCGAGACGAGACCCGTTTTCTCCGTTTTAAACGGGTTTTGATCTTCTGTATCGTTTTCTTGGTTCTAATAGTTCGTGGACGGCCTGGTGAAGTAGACATATTGATAGAGCCTGTTTCGCGGATCATTTTGCACCAATTAAAAACCGTTTTACGTGAAACCGCACCCAGTAAATCATCAAATATCTTCGTTGCACTTTCACCGTTTTCATACTTTGAAAGTACTAGTTTTTGAAGATCTTCACTTTTCATTATCTAGAAATAAATTGCAAATATCTGGAGAAAAAAAAAACAGGGCATTTTTGTAGAGAATTGAATGACGAATCTTTTTAAAAAAAGATTAGGCCGATAGCATCAAAATTAACGGAGTTATCACGAAAACAAAATAGTGTAATTCTTTATGACCCACCCGTTACATGAATGTTCACGTTTGGTGCCAGCATTAAAATTTCATTAAGGTCATATTGTTGTTAATTATACTGGCTCTTCGAATACACATAAAACACAGACTGAATGAGTTTTGAACAAGATTGTTTACCTGATATCAAAATTAGCAAGGTTCTGAAGAATACTGATGACTATATAAAAATTCGACATATTTGAGGAGATTTTCCCTTCATAATCTGCATACGTAGTATTTACGATAAAGTATTTTATCAATTCAGTATATTCCTTTTGTTTAGTAGAGAAAGTGACATCAGTCGTTGATTTTCTCCATATGTATTCTAAGAAATTTCTGAAAAGATTAGTCAATGTTTTTTCAAGGATATCTCCTTTTGAATTTTATTAGTTTGGATAGTATACTCGATACGGCTTCACAATATTTCAAAAGTCATTGATATTTCTAGTTTTTAGTTTCATCACAATTCGTCACAACTTTGATGAATAATAGTGCATTTTTTATGTCACTAATATTACTAACGTTGGCATTCATATGAGTTATTTAATAAACTTTGATAAATATTCCTTGTATCATGAATTGCCTTTAATCACGTTCTTTATTTTATTTCATCTTTCATATATTTCGATAAATATTGATATAAATATGCGCACTATCAATGAATTTGACGATCAATCAATTAGATTTTACTTAAGATTTCGTCAATGTCATTTGTATGGTATTCATGTTTGACTGTGCTTCTGTTCCCCCGTAAAAGGCCAAAGTCATACATTATTGACTCATGAAAATCAAAGCACTATGCTAAAAAACAAAGAAGGATCATTACTATTTTTAACTATGATATTTTAACGCTCATTTTTAATGGATTTTTTCAGTCAACTGCGTCCAGTGTGAATATTCATTGAATCCTCGACTGATCCCAACTGCTATATCGTTGATATCCTATATCTAATTAAACATAGTCATCTATGTACTTTCTTGATGCGCATCTATTTTATAAGTACCGTAATAAATTTTCTCGCATATCGTTACTTGAATTCATAATTTGTTCAGTGTAGTAACAATCATCTGTTTATATCAATCTGCAAACTAATCCAAGGAATATGTGATGGGAAGTTTACAGAACAAAATGAATCCGATGAAAATTTTAATTCTCTGAATGAAAGGGGATTAAATGGCAAAAAAGAAAGAAACACATTTAAGGCAACAACCGTAGTTTTTCTTTTCTCACATTAACATTTTTTAGAGAGAAAGATTATTTTCCATATTTTTTTAATAGAAGAAGACAAATGTTTAACTGCTATCGTCGATTTAAAAGGTAAAATATCGTTATTTATCTTCTTCGAATTGTCACTTTGTCAGTAAAGAATTCAACATCATTTGTTGTTGAAACAACTATAGCAATATATGAAACAATATTTGTTCTCTCATAAATATAGGTTCACTTGATATTCAGTCTAGAAAAACACTTAGTCGTCTAGAGTTTTAAATGAAACTATGTGATTTTGTATTTCAATTTGAAGATAAAAATTCATCCATACTGTTCATATAAGTAGATATGATTAATAATTAGAGAATTAAACTCCTTTTAGCTAAAAAGGTGTGGGCGTTTTTATTGTCTTTTCTAAAATATACCCGATATGACCTAATTGTAAAAATGCAAGCCGGAAAACTCCATATATCCTTCCTGTATACGTTCTATTTGGTGGAAACTATTATATTTCCTATCTTTTAGGATTTGATGTAGAATTAATTGAATAGTTTGGAAAAACATGAATGCAACGATTACTCTCGAATTATACATATTTAGTAACAACTCACCGGTTGGGTTAGTTGAATCTTGGTTTATTCCAACAAATATTTTTATGATTATCTGTTCAGCAGTAATCATTGTATTGTCGATTATCTTTCTCTTCATCATTATTATTGACAAAAAATGTCATACTGTTCCAATGTTATTAATGACTAATACATGTCTCGCTGCACTTATTTTAGGATGTACGGTTCTCACTGTAGGAGTATTTGTGTTACAGAATGATCTTAAACAGGAAGATTATAAAGATCCACTTTGCATTACTCGAGCTTATCTCATCTATACAGCCTGCGGTATTTTTAACTTTTCATTTACTTTACAATCTTTGTATCGATACATGATTGCTGTTTATCCCAGTCGTCTACTTTTTCAATCATTTCGATGTCAAGCTTCATTTATCTGTTTAACATGGATAGTATCTATTATATTTCCTTCTGAATGTATTCCTACTCAAGAAATAGCCTACGTAGTAGAGACTCATATGTGTCAAGCAAAACTTCATCCATCTGTATGTATTATTTGTGGAATCTTTTGTAATTTTAATTTACCAATTTCAATGATCATGTTCATCTATTTGAAATTATTTCGATACGTGAAACAGATGGGTAAGAATGCCGCTGCATCAAACTCCTTAGCGCGAGCTAAGCGAGAATTGAAAGCTATTCGTCGTATTGTAATATTGATAATAACATTGATTGTCATCTCCTTTCCATATCTGATCATC